TCGAAGCGACTCCTTCGGCGACGTCCTCTTGTTTATATTGATAATGTGCCATTTATTTTATTTAAGGCAATGCGCTCGCCCGCTCGATTTGCAGTCACGTTCCGGAATCGGGGACTCTCTCTGGCTCCTTGCAAGGAGGCGACAGGACGAATGAATTGTGTAGGTTTCAGCAACTGCGAAATGGCACACTCGCACACATGTGAGTGTGGAAAAGGGGGTGGTGTAGGTAGGGGAGGGGCATGTGCAAAGGACATGCCACAACTTGCTGTTGCATAATGCATTAAGTGCTGCGAGTGGGAGAAATATCCTGGTGGCTGCTGCAGGAGTTGCTCTGCTGAGTTATTGACTTGAAGTTTGTTGCGGAATTTCCAAGTGCAACGTGTGTAAGGCATAACAAATTAGGCGCGTTTGGCAAGCAGAATGTTGCAAGGATAATGTAATAGGTGGAGAGAGAGAGGGAGAGATGGGCTACGGGATATATATATATAATGGCACCAGACCCTGCACTTGAAACTGATTTTCGGTGAGGTCTCGAGGGTGCATGAGATACTTATGCAGTCTTAAGACATTTAAGAGGATGTCGGATTAAATTGTTAAGGTATCTCAAGGATATTCAAGATGTATACCTTAAGTACAACTTGTTATTACCAGCTTTATGGAAATCCTTTTAGAAAAATATAAACACAATTCCCTAGCATGTCAATTTGTTGTCCTCATCAATTATCAAAAAGAAAAATATTATACAAAAAGAAAAAATATTGAAATTCCTACAAATTGATTCAATGACAACCGCAAAGTTTTCGCTCTTTTCTTTTGCATTTCCATTTCCTTTTTATTTTCTTCTTCCTTTTCCTAACTATTGATGATTCCTTTTCGCTTTCCTCTCATTCGTGTGCGCTCTATTTCCCATTTTCAGGAAAGTTTTTTTTATTTAAATTGGATTTGCGCTTCTTTCATTCGTTTTGGTTGATTTTGTACATTAAGTTGCTCTTGCCATTCATTTCTTCTGCCCGAATGCTTATTATTATTATCGATTTCAATGCTGTCCAGCGATTTTTCATGGCAAATTGGAGAAGCAAAGAATACAACAAAAAATTTATATAGAACGCAATAGAGGGGACACATAATGGAATTAAAAATAATTGGATGACATTGAATATGTGGGTGAGTGAGCAGAATCAGAAGAGGTCCTTGCCAGAGCTAGAGAGTTCCTGTCTTGTCTTTAAAATTTAATTACCAAAGTATTTCCGAGGCGGCGCCTTAGGCAAAACCGGAAATTCAAGTGTCAACTACGAAAATTGGAATAAACAACAAACACAGAAGCGTCCCCGCAATGGATGTCAAAGTGTTGAGCTTTGTTCCACAATCTATCTCTCTCCCCAGCTTTCTCTTTCTCTTTCTCTTTGTCTGTTTTTTATTTTTCGCAAGCGGAAGAGTTGCCATTTTCATTTTCTTTTGCCAGGACCCCGTCGCCATTTTCTTTCATTCTTTTCGACCATAATTTGCATGGCATGGGAACTTGACTTTTGTTGGGAAAAAAAAGCGAAAAGTAAGGCCGACGCGGAAAATATGTTGCAGCGGCTGGCTGTGTTGCTGCCGGGATATAATAGAAAAATAAGGTGCCACACAATATGGCCGAGAGCTTTACAGTTGGTTAAGTAGCAAAAGCGAGCGCGAAAGGATGCCAAGGAGGCGAGAGCGAGAGGATCAAGTGCCACCAGCTAACCGGCAGCCCAGAAAAACTCTCGGGGAAAATCGAGGCGGGGGGAGGCATTTCAGCGAGGTCGCACCATCGCACAGCGCCAGAGCATGGCGTGAAAATTGTGTTGACAAGAAAATTATAAACCGGAAAATGTTTTATGTTGTGGCTATGCGATTTTTCTACCCCATTCTTATGTCCTTTTTTACTCCCTCTCTCTCTCTCTTTGCAGCTCTCACTTTCGTGCTTCTGACGCTTCCTTTTTCCCCAAGTGGCTTTTAAATTTTCAGCTTGGCTCATTGTGGTCAAATTAAATTGAGGGGAAATTACCAATGAAATGAAGCCAATTTTGCTGAAAGGGTCAGAGGTTTGCTAAGAAAAGCAATGCTTGACTAAGCAAAGGGTTTTTCTAAATATTTTATAGTGTATAGAAAATAATGCAATTTATTTCTTACATTTCTGATCCATTTTTGTAACTTGATCTTATTGATTTACAAACAATTTCAGTTGAAATAACACCTTTAACACCCGGCATTGACCCAATTTTCTATGCGAAACTCAACTTAAACTTGTTCTTAGTGGGTTATTAAATGGCATTTGAAAGTCTAGAATGCGGCAATGTAGCAATAAATTAGTGTCGCGGTCGCTGAAAAAGAAAAGTTTAAATACACCCAAGTACACAATACAATCACAGGACTTGTACATAGGCCTTTCGTCCTCGAGGACATTATATATATGTATATATGTGCTAGTTACTTGCCACGTTTAAGTTCGTTAAACATTTAAGCCCAGCTTGGGTTTTGTGTGTCAAGCACACACACACTCTCATACACATACCCATAAGTATATGTATACGAGTATGAAAACTCTCGTTGGGGACAAAAAGAGGTGAAAATGAGTGCAAACACACACTCGCCTACAATTACAGCACTCAAAAAGGAAGGATGGGCGAGGGGCGGAAAATGGGGAAACTGGAGGAGAAAAAAAAAACGCTCGGTGAAACGAAATTGCTCGGCAACTTTACTGCATAGTTAATTAATAGGATAACACAATTAATTTGTGGGCAATGAATGTCTGAGCTTTATTTGCCGCCCAGCCAGGCAAAAACTACAAGTGCCCAAGGGTCACTGTGTGTGTATATATCCTTTCCACATTTACATTCACATCCTTATCCAACTTGCAGCTGCCACACAGATGATGATGATGATGATGATGTGAAATCCTGCAGTCAGAAACTCGCTTATCACGCAGCTGTGGCTTCGGATAATTGCCAAAAGGCTTATGAGATTTTCATGGCCAACCCGCTCCTAATGATCCATCAAAGATAATTGGAATTGGTAGGGTCCGGTTGGATTAATGATCGTCTCGGACAATATATATACATATATATATTTGGTTAAATAGTGAAGTCTCAGAACCACAAAATTATGAATATTAAATCGGGAAATTTGCCACACGGGTTAGATTAGTTTGTGAGGACTTGTAAAAGGTTCTCTAAGTAATATTTCTATAAAATAGAAAAGAGTTTTAAAATTATAATATTTAAGAATAAAAAACAGAGGAAAGGGAGAGTTATATTTGTAATCTTTTAATACCCTCTTAAGGGTATTATAATTTTAGTCAAAAGCTGTAAATTACTCATTTCCGACCCTATAAAGTATATATATTCTTGATCTTAACTTCTTTCCGCTTTTATCAACGAACAAAGAACATTTTGTAATATGACTAATACATTCATTCAGGCTTTCGGCCCCAAAAGGCAAACAAGGCAAAGATGGGAGGACCAGCCAGTGGCTCAATTAACCACACACCATCCTCCTCACAGAAAAAAAGTCTCTATATATATATTTGAATATATATGTAGCCTCTGAGCCGAGTAGCTACTTACAAACATCAGTTTTAACTATTGTTTGCACACTCGACTCAAGAGCGAGGAGAACAAACTGGAGGAGCAGCCAGAGGTGGCATAAAAAGGACGAACTATGCCCAACTTTAAGGACCTGACTCGGGCGTTCTCCGTCCTTTTTTTCTCTTTTTTTTTTTTTTTTGTTGGGAATAACAAAAGGCCGTTGGCCAAACAAGCTGCTGCTGCTGCTAGCAAACGCCTAAAAAGCGTTAGCCAGAAATTTTCAAAAACGTAATTTTTTATGCTGTCACAAATTTGATGGTGATGCTACAACGGTCCCAGCCCATCATCCCACCTCCCTCCCTTTCCTTTCCTGATGATGATGGCATTTTGTCAGCATTATATAGTATACATAAAATACTTCACTTTATGTTTGCCATTCTTTGGAAGTTGTTTGTTTTGTTGCGGCTAAAAAAAAAGAAAACAAAAAGCTTTATAAGGAAAAACACCCGCAAAAAAAAAAACAAGCCAACTTAACTTGTTGTCCTGCAGGAAAATAAAGAGAGACCTGCTTTCACCCCTTTTCCATTTTTTGTTTTTCGCCTTTTGCTAATTTGCAGCTTTGTGAAAAATTCAGGGAATCCGCTTTTTGCCTTTGATTTTTTGGTCTGCCCTTCGGCAAGCAGGTTGTTTGTGCCAGAAATTAACGATAATCAATAGACTTTAGGGGGGAAGGGTACTCTTACATCTAAATAAAAAGACTTAATTTAATATTTTAGAATTAATTGAGAGTTACCTTGAAGTTGTCCATGTCTAAGAGTTGCGAGGCCTAAAAATCACTCGGAACGGTGATAAACAATTTGTAATTATTTTATTTTGCTTTATAATAGTTACACAAGAAGAGAAAAACATAATGCTTTTCCCTCTTTTTCGAATTATTATTATAATTATGAGGTTTCATCAATTGGTTGATTTGGGGGAGAATCTCTCTTTATATTTTGTAAGCCAAAAGCTAAAGCCTTCTACAAGGGACCCAAGACTCAAGCACACACAGACAGAATTCTCAAGCTAAGCTCGGCGCTTCAGCTGCATTTAATTAATTAAGTTCTTATAGAGAGACAGCCACTAGATATAGATGTATATATGGTGTGTATTTAAAGGATATTTATTATATATATAGTATATAGAGAAGCACAGAGATACCAAAAACAAAATGGAGTTTATTATAAAAGCACAAAAGCACAAACAACAAAAGCGAGACAAGATCAGTTTTCGTTGAGGCCCTAAAATTCAGGGAGGGGTGGGCGGTAGGGGGATTTCGATATTGTTCTATATAATTTTTCTTAATTTTTGTGGGATGAGAAATTAAAAAGACTTGAAGCTTACGTTCTACGAGTCACACGAAGCAAAAGATAGGGGTATGGTTTTTATTTTCTGATTAAGGGAAATACTGACCTTGATGCTGTCGTAACAGGCGGTGACCTTGCCGTTCTGCACCTCCACATTGGCCGGGGGATGGGCGAATTTGCATTCGGTATCCTGGCGCGAACATTTGTTCCGCTGAAACTCCCGACAGACTTCCAGTTGCAGCCAGCGCGAGTCCTTGCCGTTGAGCAGGCTGTTCATATTGACAACGTTGGCCATCGTGTTTTTGTTTTATTTCTTATTTGGGGTTATATATTATATAACTATATATATAACTGGTTACGGATCTGGGTTAGCTGGAGTTTTTTATATAGCCTAGCGACTAGATTTCTTTTTTTTGTTTCTTAATTGCTCCTCTCGCGTCACGCACACACAAAAATCACTAAAAATCAAGAGCACAGATCAGCACCTATTTATGTGTATACATATAGCATATAGATCTATATAGTAGATGGTATGAATTTCAGTTGGTTTTCTTTTAATAGTTCTTTAGCGCTTTAGTTTTTCTTGTTTTGTGGAGTACAAAGCTTGTGGGGATAGCTGATAGCTTGGGCTATATAATTTTGATTCAAATCGAACGCTTATTCAAATATATCTATATATATATATATGTGTGTGTGTTGGTGTATATATATCTATATAGACGCAGCTGTTAATTTTGTATTTTTTTATATATATATATATTTTACTGCTTTTTTTTGTGTGTAAGCTGATTTTACATTATCTGAAATGAGAGTAAAAGTGAAATAGAACTTTAGGATCATACCAACTTGGTTTATATTCCAAGACAGATAAATAGTATGGCGAAAGACAGAGATAGATATATGTTCCGAGAGAGAGATAGAGATGTGAGAGATGTGGAAACTGATCAAGTATATATATTACTTTAGGGTTAGTAATGCGCAGATCGTTGGTGTTATGTTTTTGGTTTTATTATTATGCTGAATGCAAATGCTCAAATGATAAGACATAAACAAAAGGCAGTAGACATAACCATAATTATATAGAATTATTTGCAATAGATTTCCTTGGCTAAAAATATATGAGCGAATGGTGTGCAAAAAAATAAAAGTTCTCGTTCCATACAAACTTATGATATAGTCACTAAAAATAGTTTGCCACGAACGGATATCTGGCTGTATATCTATGTATATGTATTTATGTATATATAGAGCGTGTGAGCAGCGTTGCAGCTTCCTGGAGAGAGAGAGAGAGAGAGCTAGATAGAGAGGGGAGGCGCGGGGGGTCACAGCCAAATATATAGCCAAATTAAGCCTAGACCCTAAGGCAGTTCAGCGCAATGCACATAGACCAAATCAAAAATGTAAGACTACGAATAAATAATTATCAACTAAAGTGCACTAATATATGTTCGCAGAGATATACAGATTTATTCGGACGCGGATCAGCGGTGTATATATTTTATTTGATTTCTATTTATTTTGTTGATCTTTTAGCCAAAGCAACATTTAAGAGAGAGAGAGAGACACCGCCGCAAAAGAGACAGAGAGTCAGTTGTAATTTCCATCTCGTATTTTTATAGCAAAAGGGAATAATATAGTTAAACTTACCGATCAAAAGATATATATATTTTTATTCTCAATTAATTAAGTACTGTAAAAAATTGTATACAAATACATATATATATATAAATATATTCAGAAATATTTAAAGAGAGAGAGAGAATTGAAATGAAGTGTTTTCTGTTAAAACCACAAAGTGATTCAATCATCGATGACGGCACACAATTTGATATTTATATTTTGTTGTTATTAGCATTTGAGGATTGTTTTTGTTTGTTTGCCTTTCCCCCCTACCTCCCCCTTACATTGTACTTTTGTTTGAGTTTGTTTTTATCTTTATTTGCCTGTCGGCTTGCAATAGTTTGTTGTTGTAATCGTGTGTGTATGTGTGTGTGTGTACCTTTAATCTTATCTTATCAACCGAAGCGGCATATGAATCAAAGTATTTCGAAAAATGGAAATCTATTAAAGCTTTTCCCTACGCTCTACATTTTCCTGCTGATTTTATTTGTTTGTATTTGCATTTTGGGGCTGGGTTCTGGTCTAGAAGGGGAGTGTTCTTGGAAAAGTACAAAAATTGATTATGAAATTGAAGGTCTAGTGTTGCAATTTAAATTTAAATAAAGGAAATTAAAAGGTTTAAATGTTTAAGGTTAAAAGTTACATATAACTATAAAAAAAAACAAGAAAATAAAGCAAACAAATGAACAAGAAACCAAGTTCAACATCTTTTCCATCATTTTCTATAGAAAACTTTTTTAACAAATAATATTTGGCAACCAAAACAAAGATTAACTCATTTCCTGACATAGCTAAAAGATGTACAAATTGCCAGACTTTTTTACTTGGAAAATATGTATAATTTTTAGACAAAACATTTGGTAAATTAAATGCAAAATATTCCACAAAACCTTTTCAGCACTTTCCCCTTTCAGAATTATTCTGGAAACCAGAGACTAACAAAAAAAAAACAATTTCCTATCTCTAGACATTTGGCATTTCAAAAGATATGGCACCAACACACTAAATTATCTCAGCCAAGTCAATTTCTGAAAAGATACCGGCGGCCAAGACAATTAATAAACTTTATAGAGTATACACACACTTCAGTGTGTGTGTGTCTGGTATCTATTATTTTGTTAGTATATGGATTTTGTGGATACGTCCGCATGATGTCAGCTGCAAATTGCTTTTCCGTATTTCAACTTGATTTCCAAAGATATAAATTCCAACTTAATTTATGAGCTGAGAAATTGAAGTCCCTGTGTGTGTGTGTGTGTGGGCTAATGTTTATGGCTTGTATTAAAATCATTATTTTTTGAAAACTAAGGTCTATACATAAACCGAAAAGTGAGAAAAAGAACACGCAACAACCGCCCACACTATATAGAATATATAGATACAGATTCAGGCACTGAAATCGAAACAGAAACAGAAACAGAAACAGAAACAGAAATTAGCAGCCATGTCATTGACGCAGTTCGGGTGAAAATTTATGGCCAGAAGCGGCTGTGGAAAACTCGCCACGAAAATAAACTTCCGAATAGTGTTTAGATGTGAAAAATTGGGCCAAGAATAATCCGAAGGTTCTCCTCCTGCCAGTGCCAGTATATATAGTATAATCCATTGATTGGTGCATCCGCCGACCTACAATCAACCTTCGCTCGATCTTGCCTAATATAAATATATATAAAATATGTATATACATATATAAGGACCCTCACATTTTGGTTATTAAAAAATCATTAAGAAAAAGAGATAAAATAAAAACCTGTGGACAAAAAGCGATGCAAATTGATGTAGACCCAGACCCCAAAGACCAAACAAGTTCAACAAGTTTTGTGTATTTTTTTGGTCTGTAGGTTTTTTTTTCTGTATGGTTTTTTTGAAGGTTAAACTTGCCGAAAATTAAAAGAGAAGCAATTTGAGAATCAGAGAAACCGGCAGCTAGGAGAGAGTGAAGATTAATGAAAAACTGTTAGTTTCCTAAAGTTGTTAACGCATGCCCACTAAATATTTATTCACATTCGTATTTCATAAATGTTTATGCAAGCTGAGTCAACACGCAAAATGGGGGAAAAGGCAGCTGTTTTTTTGACTGAAGAATTTTTCGGTACAATTCCCAATTTGGGGGTTTCTTTTCGTGTTTAAAACTGGGTAATAATATTTAAATAAATGTAAAAATATAGAAATAGTATCTAAAGAACTATATATGACTGTTTTTTTTGGATATTGTATATATGATATATAAATAATAGCTTTACTCATTGATAGGTTTTTTGATAGTTTTTAAGAAAATCATTTAGATAGATTTACTAAACAAAATGTAAAAATTGATAAGCTTCAATTATTTTCTGATTAGAACCGATATGATTATAAAACTAAGGCCTTAATAGGCATATTACAAATGGTATTTATGTGAAATTAGATATATTGATAAGTATTTTACCTAAAAACTAAAACTATTTAACTAAATTTGAACAGAATCATTTAGGAAATCGATACATTTCTCTTCCAATCAATTATCCGCTCTCAATAACTTATCCAGCACACACACACACACACACACTTGCCCCACATTACGTAGAACCCATAACAAATCGAGAGCGTTTTGCTGATAAGACGGCAAAATATACAACAACAAAAAATGTATTTAACGCTGCCGCCAGTTCACAGTTGGCTGTGAAAGTCGTATATTGTATATTCTGTATTTGCAGTATATATTTAATACTTTTTTGTCGCTCTCTTTTTTTTTAGATATGCGCAACTCATGAGAATTGTACAAAACGACGACTATATCAACTCAAAGTTATGACTAAGGCCTCTTACACACACACACACACAAGATGGCTTGGAGGGCCAAAAAGGCAGACTTGTATGTAACTCTCACCCCGATGGCAACGTTAAGTTAATGCATTTAAAAAAAAGAAACATTTTACGCAAGCGAAGCCGTAGCAAAACACCGGTCATTGGCTCTGCAACATTATACAATGCTACTCTAACACCGCGGGGAATAAACTAACAAACAAAATATATACATATATAAAAATAAAACATACTCCAGGCCCACCCCAGAGCTATGACACATATATTTAACGATGCGACCATAAAAACAACAACAAAATAGTGAAAGAAATAGGTGAAAACCAAGGGGGAGGTGGCTATCAATAAACGAGATAAGATAAAAAGAGAGTTATGGGTAAGAAACACTCATATATATATCTATATAAATATTTGTTAAAAGTATATACATATATAAATATGGCTAAAATATAACAAAAAGATTATCCAGTCAAAGCGAAAATAAATCTATTATTAAAAATGTTGCAGTTGGAAACAGGAAACTTTCCCGTCTTAAATGTCAGCCATAAATGGCAATTGGCTAAATGATCGTTTTGACTTTGGGATTATGTCATACTACAGGTGGGTCGCAGATGTGTCTCCAACTAATTCTTTTTGGCCAAAAAGATGCTCCATAAATGGAGTTTTAAGTTTTTGACTTGCCTAATTAATTCTCATTGTCATCTGTCTTGACTTGGCTAATTAATTTGGCAGTACACGATGCGTGGGCCCCAAAATGTTTATATATTTTCTTTTGCTCTTTTAATGTCTCTTGACTCGCTGACTGATTTCATTGACAGCTATTAGTGTGTGTTTTTTATTTTTCTTTTGTGAAATCTCTTTCGAAAGTTTTGAGCTTAAGATACATTCATATATTGCATCTTTTCAGACAAAACTGTCCCTTATTTGGTATTTCTGTATATAACTTTTGGCAGAGCTTTAGAATGGGGGCTGAAAAGATCGGCAGATTTGAGAGCCTATATATGGTCTAGATATGGCTATGACTAATGGGAAAGGAGATGAAAACGATGCGTGCCGAAAGCGTGAATAAATGTATTATAAAATAAAGAGGAAGAGGCTTGATAAGCCAAGTTTTAGGAAATATTATTTAAAGTTTAAAGTTCAAAGTTTAATATTTTCATTACGCAAACTTTAAGCGCTTTCCTAATTCAAAGCAATTTGTGCATAGACCTTGGCACTTAACTTTATTGAAAAACCATTAATTTGTATCTCAGGCTTTCATTTTCTTTCAAAAACCTTGCCCTAGTCTCTAGTATTTTATTTCACATCAAATTCAAAGCTTTTTTGTCACGTTTTCTTCTTTTTATTTACCAAATTCATATTCAAATTTTTTGTTCAC